TCAGCTTTCACAGATTTTTTTTTCCATCATCTGAGGAGTTATTGGTATGGAGGTTAAACAATTGCTCCTTAGGTTAGGGAAATAATTGAAAATATACTATTGTAATTAAAACTGCATGAAATCTGAGCTATCACTGCAAGTCTAAGAAATACCACCTTTGTGTATTATGTATGTTAGAAGTCATGGACTTACAGAATACTAACAGTGGAAAGAAATTTTGAGATGGTCAGCTTTTGATTGTCTACAATTAGATGATGAGTTCTGAAGACAGAATTTAAGTAAAACTATAGTTGGACTGACAGTTTTTATCCTAACTAAATGAAAAAAAAAGTGTCTTCTGTAATCTCTGTGTTCTCTTCCCTAGGTAATGTGGATCGAGTGCTTCCTCCCTCAAGCTTACAGAAAGACAACCTGTAATTATATTAATTATTCAGGAAGAAAATGAAATATGTGAGTTGCCTACCACAGAGTGACTCTGATATTTATGTGAAATAATTTTCCTTAAAGCTGCAGGGTCCCCGCCACTGGTCATTAGCTGGTACTCGACCTGAAATTGCCTTAAAAGTACTTCCCTTACTGCTGAAATTGTGTCTTCAAATGGCAGTGCTGGCTAGGTCCAGAATTTAATAATAAAAGCTAGACTTTATGTAGTCTCTTGAGGTTTGCATAGTATTTGACATACTATTTCATTTGATTTAATCTACCATTTTTAGGCATCTTCTTTCAACTAAGTACTTTAAAATCAATAACAAATGTAAACACATTAAAAATCATGGTAATCATGGTATATGGTATTTTAAAATTCTTATATATGAGTTTTTCCTCAAGTTTACCAGAAGCTACATATAATTTGGTAACTGAACAATTTCTTCTTAGTTATAACTAAGCCCACAAAGCTTGAAAATCTTTCAAGGTTTCTATGCAATAAATAAAACCACTCCCATCATAAAACAAACAAAAATCAACTGGTTTTTTTTTTAGGAAAAAATATAACTTCCCATAGAAAGTAGTGCCTATCTTCTTTGGGAGAGTCAGGTTATAAGGACATCTACAATTAGCAGTATTAAATTGCAATGTCTTATAATATTCCATGTTCTTGACTATACCTTTGTTCCAGATGCAGTGATAAGGAAAATCCATTGCTACTCTTGATTTATGGCTTATCTTCCTATTAGTGGTAATGAGATCTGCTGGGGAAAAAAATAAAAAACTCTGGCCTGAGAACCTAAGGGTCAGTTTCTGGAAAGAATTTTGACCCTGGTTAAGTCATATAAATTTCTTGTACTTCCACTTCTTAATTTATTAGATAGCATAATACTTAATAATACAATGCTTCAGAGTTCAAAAAATGCTTTATATACATTATTTCATTTGGTACTTATAATAATGACCCTGTAGAGTTGGTAGTATGAGTATTATTATCTCCATTTTACAGATGAGAAAATTGAAAATGAGACAGTGAAGGCCATTTGCTCAAGGTTAAGTTGGTCATTAAATAATCCCAAGCTGGAAGTTAGTCTTCTGATCCCAAGTTCAATATTTTTCCTACTATATTACAATGTATTTATATACTCCAATACTTCAAGGATTCAGTTTCATTTTGATGCAATTGTAAGCTCGGCATACCTTAATACAGATGGTTTAATGAGTTGTTAGGAGCAAAAAAACCAAACCTCTGCTAGGCCTCCTAAACTGTATTAGGATGTTCTTCAGTCTGTCTTTCATCAGAAACACAGTCAAAGCCTTTCCAGATGGGTAGGACCTATTAGACAGTGTACTTAATTGACATATCATTTGAGAAACCAAGTTCACTTCCATATTGAAGCATCAGAAGAGAATGTGAACTATATTTATAAAAATACTCATGAACTCTACCTCTGTCCATAGTTGTGGGAGGTATTTCATTCATTCATTACTCCTGTTTATTTATGATGGGATCTTTTACATCTAAGTCAAGTATAAGGGGCATCTAGGTAGTGCTGGCCTGGAATCAAGAAGTTATTGTTGAGCCATTTTTCAGTCTCATGTCTGACTCTTCATGACCCCATTTTTGGGGGGGGGGATAGTTACTAGAGTGGTTTGCCATTTCCTTCTCCAGCTCATTGTACAGATAAGGAACTGAGGCAAACAGGGTTAAGTGACTTGACCACAGTCACACCACTATTATATATCTGAAGCTAGGTTTTTAACTCAGGAAGATGAATCCTCCTCGCTCTAGGCCTGGTACTCTGTCCACTGTGCTACTGAGCTGCCCTCTTAACATGTATAATAGATATCAAATTGTTTGCTTTTTCAAGATGGGAAGGAGGGGTGAGAGGGAGGGATAAAGAGAATTTAAAACTCAAAGTTTTAAAAAAGATTATTTTTTACATGTAATTAGGAGATATTTAATGTAAAATAAAAAGAATTTTAAAAAGAATATATCTCTTACCCATAGCTGCAATAGTGTTGCAGTGATTGGTGATTTATATGTTGAAAAAGATGGTTTTTGAAGGAAACTGGGAAAATTTTTTGCGAACTTGGGCAGAATGAAGTGAATAGAACCAGAAGAACAATTTATTCAAGAATAACATTGTAAAGGAAAACAATTTTGAAAAAATTAAGAACTCTTGACATATGGAATGGGCAACCACTACTTCAGAGGAGCCATGAAGAAACATGTTACAAAGAAGAAATGAACCCAGGACGGAGAAAGAGGCATTTATTTTCAGTCACAGCCAGTGAGGGAAGATGTCTTTCTTGATTATACATATTTGTTACGTGGGTTTAGTTTTTATTCAGTTGTAGGGGCTGAGGGTGGGAATGATGGGAGAGAGATGCTAAAACAAAAAAGAAAAAGAAAAGAGGGTCATTGAAGCATTTTTAAAAATTTACACAAGAGAAAAGAAGAAAGGCCAGAAGGAAGCACGGATAAATAGTACAGCTTTGAAGGTTATATGTTGAATTTACTATATGCCTAAAGGAAAATTAAGCTTACTATATGCCAGGCACTGCACTAAGCACTGGGGATACAAATTACAAACAAAAATATACATTTTCATGTACGATCCTCTTTTTCTATTCTACTTTGTATGTGAAAATGACCATTTGGTGTTAAATTCATAATATAAAAAGAAAAAAGGATGTTATTGGTAGAACATGCTTTGCTCATAGTTGACATAATAAACATTTGATGAACTGAATTGATCATATTTTAAGATGGAAGGTTTGTTAAATTGGTTTGGGTGGAAGTCAGAATACAAGAGTTTAAACAGAAAATGGTTTGTTAGAAAGTGGACAAAACTAAGAGATACTAACTACTCTCAGAATGCCTGGTGGTGAAGGGAAAGTAGTCTGTGAAAGAAAGAATGAGAACCAGTTCTGGTAGCCAGGTCAAAAGAAGTTTTTGTCTTTGTTGTTTAAATATTAGAGAGACAGCATAATTAATGGACAGAGGGCCAGCATTCGAGTCAGGAAGACCTGGGTTCAAGTCCTGCCTCTGACACATACAAGAAACTGGTTCTATGGACGTTTGTCGGTCAGGCAACTCTCTTAAATAAATTACAGATGGATTGCCCAGCAATACCAGTAGAGTGAGTTTCTACACCTAGAATGAAATGAAATCAGACAACCAGACATAAATAAGTAAATAAACAAACAAACAAATAAGCAAATAAGCAACTAATGAAACAAATAAGAAAGACCTTTTAGGCTAAGAGGAAGTAGCCTTTGGAAAGGGAAGAGGGGATAGTTGACAAAGGAGATGAATCCTGAGTAGGGATGGAGGGATTAGCCTTGCCATGGAGTAAGGAGTGAATTAAATCAGTGGCTGGATGAAGAAACACATAGGGAAAAATAGGGTAGACAGGAAGCAAGAAAGGTAGGTAGATGGGAAGCCAAGCTACAGTTTTTTTGGGGGGGAGGGGTAGGGACAAGTGTACATGTGAAGTTCGGCTATTCGTTTATAAGGGTGCAATTAACCCTTCTTACTAACGTACATTTACATGATGTTTTTGCACTTATTCAAATATTCAGTCCTGCAAAAACAACAAAAAAGCAAATTTCACCAAAAAATCTAAAATCAGTCTTACAGAGATATCGGTGAATGGTTTTTCCTTTGGTCTTTTTCTCCCCAGCTCCTAGCAGTACCTTGGCAATATTAGATGGCACTTAAAATGCTTGCTGAGTTGAAGTTCTGCTTTCTAACCTTTCCCTTTTCAGTTCTTATACCGCTCTTGTCAGCATTCGTGTCATTCATGCCCTCCAGCAATCACCATTTTTACTGTCTGCTCTTTTTCACCCTGTGCCACTTTCTGCAATCACCTACAACCCTGACCATTGGCCATGTTTCCGCAAAATCCATACGGAAATTCAAAGAGTTTTAATGTAGGGATAGGGCCTGCGAAGTCAGACTCTCCGTTTAGGAAGCAGCAGGCTTTTTGTTTTTTTTTTTTTTTTCTTTAAGCAAATACAGAAGCGGTGATGCAGGAGGCCCAGACACCGGACCTGATTCCAATTCTTTGCTTCTTGCAAATTCTGAGTGCTAGCTGGAAAACCACTTTATTATTATCATTACTTTTACTACTACTATTGGCGTCCCAATTTTGTCAATCTAGAGGCACTGAGCCATCATACTACTACTACTACTACTACCACTACTACTACTACTACTACTAGTACTACTACTACTACTAGTACCACCACCATTGTTGTTCCATTTTCAATCTAGAGGCAGGGGGTCTGAGTTTGGTTTTAAACTTTAATAGTTTTCTACTGAGCTTTTAAAACCAAGCTCTGACAGCCTGAACTCGCACTCAGATTTTTGGGACGCCCCGTACTCGCCGCTCCCGTTGTCCGGCCGCAGAAATCGCGTCCCTCCGGGCCGGGCCGGGCCGGGCAGGGTCTTCTTCGTGCTCTCAGGGCGTCCATCCAGGGTCTTGCTCTCACTCCCATCTTGACAGTTTCTTAGAATCTCACCCCCGTCAGTCATCCAATTTAGAAACCTCACCTAGAGGGTCGGCATGTCGGGCCGGGGCCTACTGCAAGTCCGGCCCTCACGGACCGCGGTTTCCTCCCAGCCTCCCCCAGCAGCGGGCTCTCCGGACGCAGCTTCCGCCCCCCTCCGCCCCCCTCCGCCCCCCTCTGCCTTCCCTCCAGTCCCTCCAGAAGGCGGCGGGCGGGTCAAGGGGCGGGGCCGCCGCGTGGCAGGTAAGGGCCCGAGGGGGCGGGGTCAGGGGGGAGGAGCGGGCGTCACGCGGGCAGCAGGTGAGGCCTCTGCATCAACATGGCCGCCGCCTGCCGACACCAGGGGCAGCAGTTCCCCGAGCCTGACCCGGACAGCCGCGGCCCCCGTCCCCTTTTCCGCCGCCGCTGCTCGCCCCACCGGCCCCCGCTGCTGCCCTTCGTCCTCTGCTGGCTGTGCGGGAGCGCGGGGGCCGCCCCGGAGCCAGGGAGCTGGGCAGTGACCGTCAGCAACGTAAGTGGCGTCCCCGGGAGGCGAAGCCCGGGGCCGGACGCGGCACCCTCCGGGCCTCCGCCAGCCGCTGGCGCTCAGCCCAGCCCCCCCCACCCCCTCTTCTAACGTCAGAGCCAAGGCCTCCTTGTGGGGGGTCGCCCTTGGACGGACGGGCGGGGACAGACCGGAGCCCTCCCCCTCGGACCCGCGCGGGTGGGTGTGGTGTGAGAGGGGCCGACGTGCCCCCGACTCCCCAGTTGCCCGCTTGCACCTCGGGGTCTCTGAGTTGCGTCTGGAGGGGGCGGCGGCTTCTGCTGCGAAACCGGGCGAAGAGGACGACACACCCCTGGCCAGGGCTTTAAAGCCTCCGTTGCCTGCCACAGCTTCAGGGACAGCAAGACAATAGGAAGGGTTTTGTTTGTTGTTTTGCGGAGTGCTGGGCTTGGATTCAGGAAGATGTACTCACACCTAGCTTCTGGCTGCCAACCAGCATTTATTTATCTACGGAGAGCTTACTTTGCGCCAGTCACTGTGTGCTAAGTGCTGGAGACGTCAAGAAAAGCAAAAAACCAAACCCAGCCCCTAGCTCCTTGGGCATCAAGGAGCTCGAATTCGAATGGGGGATACAACATGCAAATAACTAAGTTCGTATAGTACCTGTATATGTATATAAGCATACCAACTAGATAGAAGATAATTTAAAAGGGAAGGCTTTAGCAGCTTAGAGGAGCCCGGAAAGGCCTTCAGCAGAAGGTGGAGTCTTGAAGGAAGCCAAGGGAGACGTAGGTAAGGGGGCAGAGTGTTCCAGGCATGGGGAGCAGCCGGTACAGGGGCACGGAGAGAGAGAGAGAGGGTGAAGGGTCTTGTTTGACAAACTGCCAGTACTTAGGCCAGGGAAGCTGGATTTTAGAGTAGAGGGAGGGGAGTAAAGTGTAGGAAGAGGTAGCTAGGTGGTTCAGTGGATAGAGCTCTGGGCCTGGAGTCAGGACGACCTGAATTCAAATGTGACCTCAGACACTCTCTAGCTTTGTGATCCTGAGCAAGTCACTTAACCTCTATTGCTTTAATCTGCTGGAAAAGGAAATGGCAAACCACAGTATTTTTGCAAGGAAAACCCCATACAGGGGTCATGAAGAGTCAGATACTACTGAACAACGATTTAGGTACACTGGAAGGGTAGGATGGATCCAGGTTAGGAAGAGCTTTAAATGACAGAGGATTTTGTATTTGATTCTGGAGGTAATAGGGAGCCACTGAAGCAGGGGGTGGGAGGGTAGAGAGAGTGTGACCTGGGCAGACTCTAGATAAATGACTTTTTAAGCTGAAGATGAATTGTAGTGATCAGAGATTTAAGGCAGGGATACCTACGGTTAGAAGGCTAAGCATGTCAAGCTGCTAATGGGTTACTTTGTGACCCTAAACAGATGATGGGATCATAGATTTAGAATTAGAAGGAACATTAAAGGCCATCTAATTCAGTTCCTTAATCTTACAGGTGATTCACTGAGACAAAGTTTAAGTGACTTTCCCAAGGTCATACAGATAGTGGAACTGGGATTTGAACCTAGGTTCTTAGTGCAAATCTAGCGTTGTACCATAGTGCCTACAGGAAATTACTTTGCCTCTTTTTTTTTTTTTTTTTGGTGAGGCAATTGGGGTTGTGACTTGCCTAGAGTCACACAGGTAGTGAGTGTTACGTGTAGTTTGACCTCGGGTCCTCCTGACTCCAGGGCCTGTACTCTATCCACAGCATCACCTAGCTGCCCCATTTCCTTGACCTCTTTAAGTGATTCCTTAGGAATTATTTACTAAATCATAGGTTAGTGATGGGAGTTCTCATACGGGGGGTTTTAGGATCGCAGATTTAAAGCTGGAAAGGTTCTTGGAAGACATCCAGTCCAACCTCATCATTTTACAGATGAGGACATTGGGGTCCAGTGAAATGACTTGCTGCAGGTCACACCGATGATAAATCTGAGGGATCTGAACTGGTAGGACTACAAATTAATTTACTTGTATGTTTTGTTTAGTGTCTGGCACACAGTTAAATGTGATTGTTGACTGACTTTTAATCAATGTACAATTTACTTATAGATTGTGACCATATCACTCTTTCAGAACATACAAAAGTACAGGAAAAGGTTTCGAGGGAGTGTTTGAAAGTTAGGGTTAAATTGTAGGGTGAGTAGGTGAAGATGTTCTCTACAAGGGAACACCATAAAAAAAAACATAGGGATAGGAAATGTGTAGGAGGGTAGTGATTATAAAATAGTTGAAAAAGGAAGGGGTAGAGTTATGGGAAATTCTTTCAGGAGAGAAGCAGACAGGGCAGGAAGAAAAGATGGTTATCTCTCGCTTTTCCTGCATCAAATGACTGAAGCAGTAGTTTGATGATAGTAGTATTCTCTCCGTGGGAGATGCATTAGTGTGTTGTTTTGACCTGATTTCACCAAGCTCTGAAAGTGATGGAAATATCCTCAACTAGACTGTGAATATACTTCTAGAAGTTAGAAGACTTTCTTACTGCTTAAAGCTATCAGAGTAAAATAGAGCTATCATTGCATTAGAGAGGAGGAAGGAAAATGGCTCATGAGTATTCTATTTCTATTTTTCATCTGCCTCTGCAGTGTTTCTATAGAATCATAAACTTTGTTAAGTATAGAGTGCCACTTACTTCCTAGTTAATTACTTCTTATAAACCTAAGTAATGAATTCTTAAAGTAGGGGTGTTAATTTGCTATTTAACTTTGAGGGAAAAATAAATTCCTGTTCTTAATTGTGTTAAGTTCTGTCATTTATATAACAAATTAGAAATAAGGTCGGAAGTAATTTAATACTAATGAAGTATACAGTCACAAAGAAAGGGAAGAAGGATCACTGAAGGAACTGAAGGGTCATTTGTAGCTGAACATTAGATATGAGGTGCCTTCTGAATAGGGAGGGGAACTATGTATGCTCTTTTAAGGTTGAAACAGCTATTTGGCCTCCAAGGGATGGTGCTGTGGGTTCAAAGTTTAAATTAGATGTGAGCTCATTCAGTCTGGGAAGAAACAATTTGTAGCAGTGATTAATGACTCCTTGATGGAAGATACAGAGATTGCCATTACAGAGCAATCAAGAAATCCTTGGCCCTTAGTCCAGTTCGTTTATCTACCAGTTCCCCTCACTCTAAAGCAGCTATACCACACATAAAAGCTACATTTATAGGAAGAGTAATAGCTGTAGAGATGCCCAGAAGCTCACAAGAAGCAAAATCCACAAAAGAAGCAGCAATAAAACTCATGCATAATACTTTTGAAAAAAAATGAAAGCCCCAATAAAACTGATGTCCTTAGATATACATACACATGTGCCCAAAGTATTGATGACAAAAAAAGCAAATTAGAGATCCTAACATAAGGAGAAACATTTGATATCAAAGGTATCACTGAGATATGGGATAGAACCTTTGACTAGAATATGACTTTGAAAAGGTGTTACGATATTTCCTATTCAACTAGAACAGGATAGGCAAGAATTTGGGTGGGAGAGTTGGTACAACACATATATTAAGAGGACGTATTTAGGTAAATCTAGGAACTAGAAGGGTGATACATGGTACAGGACATTTGGGTGAAAATCAGTGGAGGCAGGAACAGAAGAATATCATCATTGGGGTATAGATTAGTTTGGGAAACAGATTGTTTGTTGTCCTTCATTCTTGAAGAAGACCAGATGACATCCCTGTGCTCGAGTCAAGTTACAGTTTGTAAGACTGTGACTGATCAGACCAATACGAGCTCAGCATATTCTACCACAGGTTGGGCACAAATAGTCCATGTGAACATTTGGGGTGGATTCTCTAAATTTGCGCATCTCTCATTTCTTTTGAGCTACTTCATTTCTGCTTTGCTCATAGAGCACAGCACCTTCTCTGATGAGGGCACGCCATTCACAGTCCTGTCCCAGTGTTTCTCATATCATGTAATCAATTCCAAAGTTCTTCAGAGAGACCTTGAAAGTGTCCTTCTGACCACCATGTGAATACTTGCCCTGTAAACCTTGCCCATAAAATAGTCTTTTAGGCAAGCACACGTTTGGCATTCAGACAACAAATAAAGCCATCAGATAAATAGGGATGGGGGATTTTAACTGTCTAGACGTCTGTTTGGAGGTGTATCCCTGCCCAAAACAATAATAGCTAATAATAATAGCCTATGTTTGTAAAGCATTTACTATGTGACAGGCGCTATGCTAAGAGCTTTACAATTATTATCTCATTTGATCCTCACAACCACTCTGGGAGATAGATGCTATTATTATTCCCATCTTACAGATAAGGAAAAGTAAGGCAAATAGAAGTTGTGACTTGTCCAAGGTCGCACAGCTAATAAGTGTCTGAGGCCAGATTTGAACAGGTCTTCTTGACTGCAGGCCTGGCACTCTATCCACTTTGCACCAGCTGCCTAAACAGAGCAGCTAATGATTTCTTGGTTTCTCAAAGACGATTTTATCCTTCAAAGGATGTAGGAGTCACCAAGTGGAACTTTTATTCTGAACTTGATTCTTACCAAGTAGAAGGAACTGGTTGCTGAAGTAGAAATGCTGAGAACCTTTGGGAGGAGTGACCATTCCACCTTAGAATTTGGGAGAGGACAGGAAAGCTAGGTGTAGTCTGACCTATATCCATGGTAGAGCCAATTTAGAAGGATTTAGACAGGATAGATAGGATCTTGTGCATTAAAACCCTGCAGAGGCACATAGTCCAGGAACAGAGGATTGAAGTCAATTGAAGACAAAGATAATTTCAATGAGGAAAAAAAGAGGAAGTTTATGTGTAAAGATCTTGGAGACTGTAGTACAGAGGAACAAGTCGTGACTGGTGTTAGACGACCTAGTTCTGATGCTTACTAGGTACCTGTGTGGCTTTATGAAGATAGGTCACTTAACTTTGCTAAGTCTCAGTTTCCTCATCTTTAACATGAAGACAGCCTTCAAGGCCTCTTTTTGCTCTTAGTTCTTTGAAACTCATCAGAGAAAATGAGAATGAATGAAAAGTGTGACATGTTTCTATAAAAATACTATTAGGAATGTCAAAGCTCAGAATTAACTGTAGGTACTTAGAAATGCTGAAGACAACCAAGATGTCTTTAGTTATTTTGGATGAGGTGCTGTAGGAGAGAAGAAAAACATATCCTGATGTCAAAAAGGGATAACAATGCAGGTCAGTTAGCTTGAATTCTATTCCTTGAAAAATGCTGAAGCATATAATTAAAATGTTATAGTATTTTAGAAAAGGAAGCAGTGATCACAAAGAGTGGGGTTCCAGATAGGAGTTCATCTGAAAAAGATAGAAGGCTATTTTCAGAGATACGATGTGGCCATCAAGTAGGAAGGCCACTGCTACTGAGTGTGATACTCTTAGCATACCTTGCCCATGCCCAAAGCACATCTGTACTATTGTTTTCAGTATTGGGCAGTATTTCTTCCTGAAATGTAGGGCTTTAATAATACATAGAGCACCAGAGGAGTGTGACCAGTCATTCAGTCAGTAAACATTTATTTAGCACCTACTATGTGCCAGCACTGTGCTAAGTAAGCACTGGTGAAGGATGTCGAGGGCGTTGCCATCTGAGGATTTGTTGAAGGAATTGGGAATGTTTTGCCTAGAAAAGACTGAGGGGGCACATGATAACTCTCATTAAGAATTTGCAAGACTTTTTTTTATGTGGAGGATTTCTTCTAACTCCTGTATTCTTTTCTGTGTGGCTCAGTCAACTTCAGATAGTATTTATTAAATATTTTCATGCTCCACAGAGTTCCTAACTTGTCTTTTCATGGGATGGAGGTGACCTTATATTCCTGAAAGATTATTCCACCAGGACCTCTTCTAGGTAGGTCCTTTTGAGGTTAAAAGAAGGGCTTTCAGTATCATTGATCTGTCATGCACAAACCTGCCTAGTTAAATTCATTGTGGTTCATTACCCAACAGTAGGCATGATGGTATCTCTGGTGTCTATTTTTTATTGCAGCAACAGCTTATATAACTCTGTACTAAGGGGCTGAGGGGATGTTGAAGGTGGAAAGAATACTCAAAATGATAAAATTGTGGATCTTTAGTTGTGTTGAAGTATGCTTGGAGACAAGGTAACGTAAGTATCTGCTTTCAAGGTATATACAGATATTATAAGACACTATAATTACAGATATTATAAGACACAGGTCATTTGTCCAGATGTGAAAATATGCAGGAAGGTGGGGTGAAAATAAACAAATGCAAGGGGAAGTAGCGTCAGGAGCACTTGAGATTCTTAAGTGAATTTTTACATCCTTCTGATGAGGTCTAGAGGTTTAGGGGTTCTGGGACCCCATGATCGCGACACACGGGTCCTGCCTGAAAAAATTCGACCCATGCCTTCTTTCAGCCAAAAACATGGTTTATTAAAGATCTGCCATATTTCCAGACTCTTGAGGAATCTAGGAGTCTGCAAGTATTGGCTAGATTCTAAGAATCTGAGCAGTGGCTAGATTTTAGGAATCAGCACCTTAATGGAGACAAGATGGACCTTATATACAGAAAGACTGTGGGAGGGATCTAGGAGTGGGCAAGTAGTTTGGGGTGACTGGAGGGAGGGGTCTCAGGAAGATCTGAATGGGAGTGGCCAGTAAACTGGGGGGAACTGGACACCTGGGACCTGGACAGTGGAGCCTAGCTAGGATTAAGTGTGGAAAATGGCCAAGGGCCATAGGGAGGGCTAGGCTAGGTTAAGGGTAACAGAATTGGAAGATTGGGTGTAGCCACAAAGAAAGGCCAATTGTTGGGATTATAGCCTCAGGCAAATGCTAGAGATTTGGCCAAGTGGGAAAGAACAGGGTTTTTTCCTTTTTGGGATTTAGTCCCTTCCTCATCACCCGGTGCAAGTTTTGGTCAGGTGAGGTTAATGTTAGCCAAAAGTTGCAGGAGGAATAAAAGAAAATCAAACCCTCCTGAAACACCAAGACAGAGTACAGTGGGACTGATGGGTTTGGGATCTGGACTCCAGAAAGGAAAAACCCTGGACTTTCCCACATGGCCAAATCCCTGGCCTTCGCTTGAGGCTAGAATCCCATCAACTGGCATTTCTTTGTGGCTACATTCAATCTCCCAATTCTGTTACGGTAATTTAGTCTAGTCCTCCATTGTTTTACCTCACTATGGCTCCTGGCCACTTCCCACCCTTAATCCTAGCTAGGCTCCATTCTCCCTTGGCCACGTGGTCCAGGTTCCTGTCATTCTATTACCTCACAATCCCAGAAGACTATTTGGCCACTCCTAGATCTCTCCCACTTTCTTTCTGTATATAAGGTCCATCTTGTCTCCATTAAGGTCCTCAGATTCTTAGAATCTGGCCCTTGCTCAGATTCTTATAATCTAGCTACTGCTACAAACTCACAGATGCTCAGATTCCTAAACAGTCTGCTTAATATGGCAGATCTTTAATAAACCTTGTCTTTGGCTGGAAAAAAAAAAAGGAAGTAGTCACTTTTTACCAGTCACATACATTTTCATAGAACCAGTAAATGTCTAAGCAGTTAGCAATTACATTTTTTTTTTAGCATTTCAAAAGTTAAATTCATCCATGTGGTTACTTACTCCCTTCACCAGTTCAGATTGCAGATCCTCTAAGTCTTAATAGATGACTTCTTGAATTGCTCTGGACACACATTTCATCATTTGTTAGGTAACCTTCTGATCAAAGATTTAGAGCTGTGACAGTAGAGATCCAGTCTAACCCCCTCCTTTTATGGATTAGGAAACTCAGGCCTAGACTGGGTAAGTAACAACGTCAGAACATGACAGGACTAAGTCAGAACTTGGGCCCACTGACTGCACATCTCCATTGGTTTTAGGATTGTGACTGATAAAACATTATTCTCTGTTAAAATTAGAGATCGTAATGGGAGAGTGTGTTTGAAGAAAAGATTTTTCTTAGTATTTTGTCCCCCACATACTGCTCCCTTTCAAATCCTCACCACCTTTCCTTTTTAAATAAACACAATTTGTGAGCAGACTGGATAATAAAATATTCTTATGCTGCTAAACTAATGGAAGCTAAAATAAAGGATTGTAATATGGTAACTCCTTCTTGAAGAGGGGTGGAAGTGTTGCAGCAGGAAAGCCTCTTGCCTATCCTTCGCTTCACAATTTACAAAAAAAATTTTAGTTCTGATTTTGGTAGTGAATGGCTTCTTTAGATTGAGTTACATTAACTTTTTACCAGGTCACACTTGAAAGCCTTTCCAATTTTGTTAAGACCTGGCACACATAGATTGTCGTTTGTTAGCGTAGACTTGTAGAAAACCAAGATTCATGTGCTGGACTTTATAATGAAAAAGATAACCCATACCATTCATTTCAATTTATGTGCTAATGCTCAATAAGGCAAGCACATAAAATGATGGGCAGAAAATTTGCACATTATCAGGTTATTAGATAATGTATATATGTATTGGGTGGTATACAATTAAAGTTTACTCTGTATGATTATGATTTCTCTTAAATAAATACAGGCTTCATGGAAAAAATGTTTGATGCTTTAAAATTTACAAAACCTTTTCTATGCTAAGCCCCTTTGCATATAAGGATCTTTTGAAGGGGGTACTGCAGGTATTAGCCACATGTCACAAATGATGAAGCTAGGATTGACACATTAATCAACTTACACAGGTTCACGTGGCTAGGAAACATAAGAAAAATGATTCAAACTCAGGTCTTACTTGAAGTCCATTACTATGTCCACTGTGCCACCCTTGCCTATCAAAAAAGAAGGAAAATTCAGTTTGTCATCAGCATTTATTAAGAATCAGATTAGTTAATTTGTTGTGGCTTAGTTTAGTATTATTTAGCCTTATAATTATCTGAAGGAGATGGGCTTTTACTCTAGAAAGTTTTTAGAACATGTCCTGAGGGTTGGAGAATTGGATTGATAAACTATGCTTCTTCACAAATGGGTCTCTCCTCATTTGTACTTGGGGCTATGACTTACTGTTAACTGGTAAACAATTGAATTTGCAGTATCTTTGCACAGTGTCTGGCACCAAGTAGGCTCTTAATGATTGTTTATTGATTAATTGAATTTTGTCTCTAAACAACTACCAAGGCAGCCATCTTTTCTGTATTTATTTCCTGATCACTTATTTACCTGTTTACTGATTATAGTTTTGTATATGTTCTGTAGTAATGTAAAGATGCTTTAATGTTAAGTAGGGAAGGAAAAGTTTAAATAATAATCTCTTTAAATGTCTTTAGGATATAATATTACATTTTTGTTTTTTCTTTGTAGGGATCAAGACCATTAATATTTAGGAAAACTATGTTTAATTCTACTGAGATCAAGCTTAAAAGTAAGTATAACAGTGAGTGGAATGACTTTTTTCCTAAAATCATTTTTTTTTTCAGTAACTTTATAATGTTTTAATTTTGTTGGAAATCTTAATATTTGCATGGCTGAATTTTTCCCAGAGTCACACAGTTCCCCTAGTCATAATCTCATCATCTGAAAAAAAACAGAGATGACTTTTTTTTTTTCAACTTGTATTCTCCTTTCAATTGCATATTGTTAGGAGAGGCAGCAAGGCAAAGCCCCAATCTGGACATTTGTCCAGACTGAGAATAAGGAAAACTGAATTCTAGTCTCATCCTTGACGTTAGCTAGCTGTGGAATGTTGAGTAGGTCACTTATTCTCAGTTTTTTCACCCGTCAAATGAAGAACTAGATGATCTCCAAGGTTCCTTTCAGCCAGCGTGCTTTGATTGTAATCTTCTATTATGTATTTATCTACAAAGACTTAGTCATTTTTTTCCCTCAGTAGAAAAGAAGCAATAAATGAAGGAACTTTGTGTTTTCTGCCACCCTACCTGTGTCTGTACAGAAGAGAACATAGAAAATAATTATGGGTTGATATTAGACTTGGTGGATCAAATAAGTTATCCTTATAACAAGTTGTACCTGACTATCACATTGGACTTAACAGTATGCATTAGCAACATTTAAGTTTTTGTAATGTTTTCTTGAAGCTATTTACTTTTTTTTGATTAAATAAGTTGATTTTGAGTTAAAACATTAAACACTTCAAAATTACTGAAAAAATACTGAGTTTGAGTTTGTAATTTATATTTTTTAATTTAAAATGAGATTCTTTCTTTCTAAACAGTTAAGTCATTCAGCTGTCCTGAACCTGTGAATTTTACCATAGAGTGGCATTTGAAATATCATGCATGTCACAATGAATATACTAAGTTGGAAGTAAGTAACACACAAATGTCTTAAGGATTGTATTGTTGTTACGGTTGGTGGAGACCTGGAGTATGATGGATTATTAGAGTATGAGGTTAGGAGATAAGTCCTTTACGTATTTAATTTAATTGGGCTAACCCCTGTCCCTGAAATGTTCCTTCTTTATCTCTGCCTTTTTGAATCTTAATTGTCCTTCAAGACTGAACTTACCTGCTATAATTTCTTTGAAGTTTCCCTGACTTCTCTGGTTCCCAATTGTTAATGTTCTTTCCCCCCTCAAATTACCTTAGGTATACTTACTGTGTATATGTGGAATCCCACAGTAGATTATAAGCTGCTTGAGGACAAAAGATTTTTTTTGTCTTTGTTTCTTTGGCACCTGGCACAGTAGGTGCTTAACAGAGTTTAATTTATATTACTTTCTTAATTTTGCCACTGATTCAATTTGAGATTTCAGGTAAGTCAATTAAACTCTCTTTTATGAATACCAGTCCCCTAACTTCCTCACAAATGTAATATAAGTAAGTTAAATTAATACACGTTTAAGAGAGCCATTTTTTCTCCAGACAAACTTTAAAAATTAAGAATGGATATCATTAAGACTTAGTAAATGTTTCAGTTCCCTAACAGGACCCAGTTAAGAAAGAAGAAATTCAGAAGAAAGAAGAGAGCAAATATTTAAGTGGAAAGGGGAGAGAGAAAGCTAGAGGAAGAATGAAAAAGGGATGGGAAAGAAGAAAGATTAGCATTTCTTAACCTGCCTGACCCTAGATAATCTCAAATTTTTATCAGACCTCAAATCAGACTCCTAGTGAAGAATACTATTACCTTTCCATCTTTGATTGTGTCCTTTGAATCTTGTCTTCAGGTGCTTGTATTGTATTCTACCTATTGCTGTATTTAAGTAATTTCTTATGACTGGCTTGAGTTCCTAGTAAGTTTTTCCCCTTTGGTTCCTTTAAAAAATATTATTTTTGTTGATATATTTTGTTTTTAACATTACTTTCTTTTCCAAATTTGTATTGCCCCCTCTCCCTCCAGCTTCCTCTGTGGTATTGATATTTTTAAGCTCAGTGTTTTTAATTTTTCCCCAAGTAATTCCTGCATTTTGTTCCATTTTTTAAAAATTGAATAACTGTATGATGGAGTAATTTTTAAAGTTTGCACAAGGATATTGAATTGTATTGTGACCACTGTAGTATATATTATGTCTTATGGAGAAAAAAGATCCCTTTTCTGTATTTTAGCATTCTTGTATCATGTGGTTTTTGGGGATAGTATTACTAATAACTTAAAACCATGTTGCATTTTCACAACTGTAATGGTTTTTGAGGAGAGAAAAGTGGTCTAGTAGACATGTGACTTTGGAAAAATTTTTTAAAAGCTGCATTCCATTCAACCATTTTTTTTGGTTTTTTTTTTTTTAGTGAGGCAATTGGGGTTAAGTGACTTGCCCAGAGTCACATAGCTAGTGAGTTTTTATGTGTCTGAGACCGGATTTGAACTCAGTTCCTCCTGACTCCAGAACCAGTGCTCTATCCACTGGGCCACCTAGCTGCCCCAACTCAACCATTTTTAAAGTGCCTTTTTAAGAGAAAGATAATCAGTAAATTAACCTGAAAGCATATTCACCCATTAGTCTGAGGATTCTACATTCCAATAGGTACGAATTGTAGTTAAGTATTATATTTATTAGTGATTTCTGTGTTTTATATTTATATGGAATGTGGCAATATCTATCCTACATTATGCACCCTGATGTTTTAATGTTACATTTAATGTGCATGATAAGGCAAAGAATGATGGTCTTTATGATATGGACTCAAATTCTGCCTCTGACATTGGCTGTGTGACCTTAGGAAAATTAGATAATCTCCTTACGCCTCAGTTTCCTTATTTATAGCGTGGAAATGATATCTACAGTACTTATCTTGTAGGCCAGGCAAGACAACAAGCAGTTATTAATCAAGGGCTATGTGCCAAGCACTATACTAAGTGTTAGAGTTACAAATACAAATTTTTAAAAAGTCCTTCCCTTTATGGGATTTATATTCTAATGTGGAAAGACATAAAGAGAGAGCTGAAGTTGGAAATGTGTGTAGTAGAAGGTATGGATATGAGGGTATGATGGCAAAGTCCAAAGAGTCAAAAGCACATCTGGGAGGGGAGTAAAGCATGGCCAGCCAGGGCCATTCCTAGAAGGAAATCCCCAATGGGAGTATTGGGCTGGCATAGTGGAGGGTTGTTCCTGAAAGAGAGAGCCCCAGGCGCTGAGGGAAATTCCTGGATGAGAAGGCAGGGGAATCATTGTAGCAATGAGGTCAGAATTACAGCAGGGAAAGATTAAATGTGATGATGTATGTAAACCACTTTGCAAAACTTAATATGCTATATAAATGTCAGCTAATTTTTTTTATAGAATTATAGAGTTGGATATGATTTCTACCCAGTGAACGTCCCTAGAAACATCTCTCTAATTTAGAATTTGCAAAGATCAAAGCATAAGTAAAGTTTCTAGATGACTGTAGCTTGCCTTTCTTAAAAAAAAAATTGCTGATATTTTTTGTTTTTCTAGCAGCTCAATTTCTAAATTTCTATCCCTATCTAGTTCCCAGAGAGTTGTCCCTTTAACAGATAATAAAGAGAGAGAAACAAATGCAGTTCAGCCACCCTAACCTACATGTCAGCCAGGTCTAACATTACATGCAGAATTCCATACCCATGGTCCCCCTCCTTTTCAAAGAGGGGAAGGAGGTGCATTTTCTCATCCTTTCTTTATGGCTCAGTTTGATCATTGTGATTATACTTCATTTAGTTTCTTTTTTTTGTTCTTTTCATTGATGTTGTCATTGTGTTTTTTGTTATCTCTATTTATTTCTCTTTGCAAGAATTTATCAATTTTCTTATGCTTTTCAGTATTCTTCATAGCCATTGTTTCTTATGCTGCAGTATTATCCTATTACATTCATATACCACAGTCGGTTTAGCCATTCTCAAGTCAGTGGCATTGACTTTGTTTCTAATTATTTGCTACTACAAAATGTGCTGCTTTGAATATTTTGGTGTATGTGGTACCTGCTTGTCTTTCTAAATGGGTTCTGACTCAATGCGGTGTTTGCTCAGCAGTGAGATCTCTGGGTCAAAGTATATGAATATTTTTGTCACCTTCACATAGTTCTACTTTGCTTTCCAGAGTGGCTGGACTAATTCATAGTTCCACCAACAGCACAGTAGTGTCTATATTTCAGTAGCTCCTGCAGTGTTGTGTCATAGGCCATCTTTCACCAGTTTTCTGGGTAGGAGGTAAAACCTTGGCATTGTTTAGATTTCTGTCTCTTTTTTAGTGTTTTGGAGAAGTCTTTCATATTGTTGTTAATATTTGGCAATTCTTTTGAGAACTGTTTATATCCTATGACTGTATATCTACTGGGGAATGGCTTTTGGTCTCATATGTCATGACCATCAGGCCATTATTTGACAGATTTTTTTTTTCCCTAGTCAGCAGTCTCCTTTGTTATTCTTGCTGGATTCATTTTTGTTTCTAAAAAAGCTTTTTAATTTCATGTAATCAAAATTATTTCTTTATCTTTGTGATCTTCTTTGCCCCTTGTTTGGTTAAGAATTCTTCTGTTACCTGTAGTTGCAAAGGTAGCTGTTGAGTGGGGAAATTGAGGGGGGAGGGAGACAATTTGGAACTGAAAATAAAGTGAAATTGAATTAAAATATTATTGGGTTGGGAAGGGGAGGGAGAGAATTTGGAGTTGAAAATAAAATAAAATTGAATAATTTTAAAAAAGGTACTTGATCTGTTTTTCTTCTTTTTTTAATGTGAACTTTCATAAATACTGCATTTCCAAGTCAAAATTACTTTTCATTGTTGTTAATTTGGGTGCAGGATCATTTTAAACTATTTTAAAACTTGGTTCAATTTACATATGTTTTGAAACAATCCTAAACTTTATTTGGTAGGAACTGTTAAGCAAACCCGCACGTAGTGGTGATGATGACTTCTGTGAAGCTTATTTCCACGGAAAACAATGTCGCAAGCAAAAAAGGGAAAATTTAAATTGTGACAGTGATTTACAGATGTTTCCTATGTTGAGTGTGAGTATGTTATGAATTTCCTGAATATTATAACATTGACAGTTTTTTCTTTCCAGTTAATGCAAATGTCAACAAATTTATATTAGTCACTGAATCAGAAAAGGTTTTAATTTTCATCAGTTATTCAGTTGAGTGCTTTTTTATTTTTACATCCTTGCTTACCACAACCTCCTTTACCTTTACCTCCTGAATTTTCCCCTTCAGCTAAGGTAATTCTTGGATGGGATCTTAAAAGACCCTTGTTGTTATTTTTGTTCAGTTATTTCAGTCATGTCTGACTTTTCATGATCTATTTGGGGTTTTCTTGACAACGATACTGGAGTGGTTTGCCATTTGCTTCTCCTGTTCATTAGACAGATCTTCCTGACTCCAGACCCGGTGCTCTATCTACTGTGCTACCTAACTGCACTTAGAAGACTCTTAATTATCAGAAAAAAGAAAAAAAAAACAAAACATTTTTCATACTCCAGTACTTTAGACAGCAGCCTCTATTAATTTTTTTTTGTACTTTTCCTCCCAAAAATGTGTTCACAAAAGATTTGTGCGTCAGGGCATCAGTCTGCAAAATAGGGACTGGGTCTCCTTTGGGGGGGGCGGTCATGGCATTATGGATCATGTGAATTCCATGGATCATAGAATTCTGTGATCAGTCGGTTGAAAGATGGGAAGATGGGTAGAATCCTATCTTCTCTGTGATAGCCAATCATGGAATTTGTTTTCAACACAATCAGACCTTTTCTTCTGCTACAGCTGTTGGCCCCAAAGGTTAGTTGTAACCTAATGCCTATCCAGGCACTTACATCAGGAACTTTGTAGGGCCCACTGGGAAAATTCTTTGCTCCCTACATGCCACTTCTATTATCTCACTTTGATTCCTGCATTCCCAACCAAATAGAGAGCCACAGGGAGAGGCCATGGTCATCTCTTTGTCTTCATTTTAACTGGGTCTTTTCCTTTTCTCCCTAAAAGGGAGATCCATCATCAGTTTATAAATTAGCTTGTTTTTTTGAGGAAAACACACACACACACACACACACACACACACACACACACACACACACACACA